CAGGAGGCACCCGGAGGAGCGGGGCCTGGGCAGGCCAGGCTCACCTGCCGGGACCAGCACAGATTGGGCCCCCACCTTGGGAAGTGGGGGAGAGGAGTGCAAGCAGGTACCTGTCTTCACACCGTGGTTAATGCCACTCACGGAGATGGTGGCATTGGCGATAGGGATGCCCTGTTCATCCGTCACCACCCCCTTGATGCCGCGGTGAACCTGCAGGAAGGGGTGAGGCCGGGTGTCCACATGCTGACCCTGCGGCCTGCGCCCCTGCCCTGTCCAGGCCCCTCTCACCGCCCTTCCCCGCCTCCCGGGTGCTGCCCCGTCCCCCCAGCCCCACCTGCTCCATGAAGGTGAGCAGGGCTTCCTTGTTGTTCTCCCACTCTCGGGGCAGCTCGCTCTCATGGGGGAACTTGTCACAGCCCAGGTAGATGGAGAGCTCCAGGCAGTTGGTGTGCAGGTAACTGAAGTCATTGATGGCTGGTGGGAGCAGACAGAGCCGCAGTCACCCTCACCCCATCCCACACGCCCCGCCGCGGCCCCGCCCCATAGACTCACTCCCGGATCTGGGGTTCCACTTGGCCCCGTTGACGATGCCCGTGCCCCCGGTGTGGTCCTGCGCTTGGCACCCTCCCCGGTAGGGCTCGGTCATGGTGAGGTGGGTGGAGGCGAAGGAGATGGCCAGCCAGCGGAAGATGGCGTGGTCTGGGGTCTCCTGGGCCTCAGACACCTCGTCCTGGTCCTCTCCGCGGGCGGCCGCCAGGGCCGCGGCCATCAGCTGCTCCTGGCTGGGTGTGCGCGCCATGTCATAGGGGTAGGACACCAGCCGCTCGCCGCCGTTCAGGTTCGCCCCCAGCACGAACGGGTTCTTCTCCATCCAGGCGATGATGGCACGGACCTCCGTGGACACCTGGGGGCGGCTCCAAGTGAGGTCTGGGCCATGGCTTCCACCGCCCTCCATGGAGACCCGTACCAGCCCTCCCACCCCTGTCCCCCCAAAGCCCTGCAGTCAGTGCCCGGAGCTCCAGGGCCCCGGCTTCTCCCCTGACCCTACTGGCCAGGCGGCGGCCTCACCGTGGCATCCGGGGAGAGGTAGCGTTCGGGGATGGGCAGGTTGTTGTTGGGAACCCGGTAAGGGACCCATTTCCTCTCCTCCGCTCCCCAGAGCACAGAGTTGAGATCCGGGAAGTCCTCGTAGATGTCGAAGCCCTCCTCAGTCCACAGCCCCAGTGCCCAGTTCCCGAACTCTGAACCCTACAGGGGGCGGGGGTGTCAGCAATTGGGTGGTCCAGACTTGCCCCATGCCATCCCTGCCCACCCAGCC